ATACATAATTTTTTGCAGAAGCAGAAGAATTACCAAATAAAAAGATGGCACAAAAAATTATAAAAATGTAAATATTAAAAAATGCAAAGCACAGAAACATCGTGAAATAAAATATATACTTTTACCAGCAATAATTAATAGCTAATGTGACGTTCTGAGCAATTATATAATAAATTATATAAATAAATTACCAGGTATATAATAAATCCAATAAATTAAATATATTTATTGGTATTTATTATATATTTGGTATAATAAATATAATAATAATAATATAATAATTATATATTTATATATAATATATAATAAATATAATATATTTATTATATATTATATATAAATATATAATAATATATAATATATATATTATATTAATAATATATATATATATATATTATTTATATATTTATTATATAATTGTATTTATTGTATTTATTATATATTATATATAAATATACAATATATCATAAATACAATAAATACAATTATATAATAAATACAATACTGGAATTCTTGTTCAATGCATAGTTCAATACATTTTGATCATTTGCATCATAAACTTTTAGTAAATACAAATAAAAATCTTTATCAAAACATTTATCAAAATTTTTATAAATTAAAAAATTCAAGATTTATCTACATTATTTATAAAAAAATGGATGCATCTCGACAAAATAATTTTAAATTCGTAATATTTGGCTTTATAAATGATTATAGTTTTAAATTTTTTATTAATTTTTCAAATATCTTGCCTTTGTGCTTCCTTTGTTTTTCATATAGTAATCGTTGCTTTTATCGTCATAATTTAGTTTTAGCAGTTAAATTTAGTGTTTTAATTATGACAAAGATCCGTGGTGCACGAGATATCGATAAACGACAGCAGAAAGCCATCATAGAAGGCCGCACGCAAGGACGAACACATGAGCAACTCGCCCAGCAGTTTGGCATTTCCAAATCGGCGATGACCAAATTTCTCAAACGTTCGAAGACCCAGGGAGGTTATATTAAGAAAAAGAAAACCGGAGGACTGCGTTGCACTACTTCTATCATCGATCGCAACATCCTCCGCACAGCCTGTAGCAATCCACGTCTCACGGTTCCGAAAATTGCTAAAAAAATATTACGTTTTGGAGAGTCTAATCCATTCGTACGGACCATACGTCGTCGCCTACAGTTCGGAGGACTGCATGGACGACGACCTGTGAAGAAACCGTTTATTTCCGCAAAGAACCGGAAGGTGCAAATAGAATGGGCAAAAGCACATCTTAACTGGACACCTCAGCAATGGTCTGACGTCGTCTGGAGTGACAAAAGTAAATTTATGTTATTTGGTAGTGATTAATAATTAATTAATTAATTTCTATTTTTCTATTAATTAATTTCTGTTATCGTGGGATATATTATGGGGTAAATAATTACTATATAATTGTTTAATTTCATACGCTATATAGCTTTGTGTTGTTGCATAAAGAAATTACACTTTCATCATCAAACTATTAATCATATATCATCGAAAAATAAGAAATTCTAATACTTTAATATTATATATCGCTGATCTATATTTGTTTCGATAATAAAATGTAATTTAAATAATTTATTTAATTAATTATAAAAGCAATATAGTGCAATCGAAGGTAATG